TTGGGCCAAGGCGTCTTAGAGAGTGGCAGAGGCAGGAAAAAGGCGTATTCGGCGTCTCGCTTGGAGACTGCTCGTTTCGGTGGGCCGCAGACACCGGATAACTCCTTTGGAGACTCCGCGTATCATTCAATTTCCTTTCTCGCCTCCTGAAGCCGAGTGCCGCACGGAGCAGGGCTCCAAATCCGGGCCGTGGCTTCCATGAAAAGCATCTCATTTTGGAGAGCCAAGGGTGAGCGCAGCTTGGTTTCCCCTGCTTGAGCGAGCACTCTTCCCCAATTAGCGCTGATCCGCGCTGAATTGAGCACCACACCCTGAGTCATAGACAGCGAGGCTCGAGAGGCGGCATCATAGCCCCTTTTGACAAGTCTCTGGAAGGCCTAAAAGAGGCTGTGTCATATTCTGGGCCATCTCATCAGGCAAGCTGGAATAAATACTTTCAAAGGACAGTTCTCGGAATAGGGGAAATCATGGGAAATTAAAGAAAGAAGCCGGGTTTGGATCTGAGCTCTCCTGAAGCTTAAGAGGCTTTTCATCAGGCTGAACCTGAGCGCTGCGAGATCCTGGGAAAAGTCACCCACCTGGCAGGAGAGGCCTTTTCATGAAATAGAGTTTGCAAGGGGAGGGATCGTTGTCTCCAGGGTTAGGCGAGGGACACCTAATTAACATTGATGGCCGGTTTAAAGAGAGCCTCCCTCAGCCAAGGGACGTGATTTTAGAGCAGCTAGATTCTGCATGAAAGAAAGATTTCCCTCCCCTTCCCCCACGAGTTCATCCCTAGCCCAGGGATTGGGGCCTCGCACTTGGGAGAGGGGAGACAACACATTTCTGTCCCTGCATCGCAGCCTGTTTGTGCTAGGGGCAGAAAGGACATATAAACCGGTATTAGCGATCGGAAACCAGTTCAAATCTGTAACACGACAGAAGTTCAGGGCACAGAAACCACTTTCAAAATGGCCGAAACCGGTTTAAGATAAACCTGCAGGGATGTAGTATCAGACTGAGCTGATTTAAATTAAATCGGTTTATTGAACTTCAAGGCAAGTGTGCAAATCACTGAGCTTCCTCCCTAGCTGTGTCCTAATTCATCTTGAATTCCTTTCCTTGCAAAGCTCTACAGCTTCAACGAAGGTAAAGGTGAGTGTTTATGTATGCATATGCCCCCACTCCCCGCCTGGGTGTATACACACAGGCATGCAGACATATGTACACACAAACCTATAGGCACACACAGATGTGTACATGCAGTAGACTAGAGTGACTTGCAGCCTGGTGGTTAGGCCCTTTTTCAGGGAGGTGAGAGATGCGAGTTGGACCCCCTTGGGTTACAGAAGCTGATTCCCCCTTTCTGGGCACGTGCTCCCATCACCGCACTATTAATTAAAGGTGTAATGGCCCCTGCTTCCTACGGTGGTGGTGCCAGGCTAAGTGGTGCTAGGCTAAGTACACTAGCCCCACTTCTCATTCAGTCTCACCAGGGCACTAGCTCTTGCTCCTAAAGCCATACAAAAGAAAGGAAAGAAGACCAGGGCACTGCCTGCTATGCCTTGCTGGAAAATGAATATGAATGTGGGAGGCTGCCCTCAGATAATCAGAGGGAGCCTTCCAGATGCCACACTCTGCCCTACTTATCATCCAAATACCTCAATCTGGCCCAGTCTATAAACTCTGTCTCTAAATAGTGCAAGTGGCCTCAGCCAACTTGCTCTTTTGGTCTGTAGCCAGACTGGCTCCCTAGCCCCAGGTAGCAGCCCCTCTCCCCCAGGATCACTCTGTCTAGTTCCCATTGGCGGTCCTTCTCCAGGGCTCATTCTCTGTAGCCTCTAATTAAGAGTGCTTTGTCAGGGCTCTCCGTCACCACCCTTGTTCTGTCTCACACAGGCCTGCATTCTCCTGCCTTATGTTAGTTAAACAGACTCATGGCCTCTTCCCTAGGTGCCTAAAGCAGCCTCCCTGCTCCCCATAAGCCACCCCCATCCCTCGTGAGAAAGCATAAACAAATGTGACTCAAAACAGAAAAAAAAAAATCTTTCTTTCTCTTTTTCTCATCCTGCAGAGCTCCTTACCCCTCCAGGGCCTCCGCAAGAATGACCCCAGGAGCCAGGCTTATATAGCTCCTTGGCTCCTCCCCTTCTGGTCACCTGACCGCCTATCCTCCCAAGGCACAGGGCTCTTTGTTTCCTAATAGCAGGCTCGTGGCTCTGCTCTTTGCTGCCTGTCCCCTTCCTCTCTGCATCTCCTCTCATGGGCCCAGGGGTTCACCCCAAGCTAATCAGCCAGTTCATGTCTTTGTTGCCTGCAATTTGTAACCTTTAGCTCTGCTGGTTTTCTCCATTTGAGTAATAGGGATTAGGGGTTCCCAATACAAGGCCACCTGCTCTAGCGGGTTTTGAATGAAGGTGGCCATGTCTTGGTGGAACTCACTCCCAAATGGGGATGTTTGGCCTGGTCTGAGCGTACCCAATAAATTGGTCCCCTCCGGAGATGTGAGAGGAGGGAACATTTTGCTTCAGCCTCTTGACTGGGTTTATGTATAGATAGACCATGCCTGGAGCACTTCTAAGCATGTGCCAAAGCAGAAATTTAGGTGAACTTTAATGGTGAAAATGTAAGTACCTATAGACACTGGGCACTGATGGGTTTAGACTGAGCCTT